TAGACGGAACAATTTTTTTAATAAACCACTGTAGGTACCTAATGAAATAAACAACTGTAATTGCTAGAAGGACCCCCACATGATAAAGTTAGGTAACATAATATTCATCGCGAGTTTGTCGTAACCTTCACAAAGGAAGCTCAAATGAAATTTAACTGTCCGTTGATTGACGAAGGGACCCGTTGTCCACAATAATTATCTTGGAGGAAGTAGGTAAGATGAGCGCGTCGTTAGCTCCAACCACTTATGTATGCCTGGTACGTACATAGGAACATCCGACGAATAGACAAGACAAGAATTTATCTAATATTTCATCACAGCGCTGCTTGTCGTTTTAAAAGCACGTAGACGAATAAGGCATTTGAGCTAGCTACTATCAAGTAATTTTATCTATAAAACATTTTAGACATTAAAAATCTGGTTTCAAAGGCCTTTTAAGAGCCTAAAATAAACTTAAAAGAACCGTTATTATCGCAAGCTAATTTCAAATTTATTCAATTCTATAATGCTATATTGCAAGAGGTCCTTTCAACACCGGACATTAAAACCAACTCCCAATTTGAAACATATAGAAACCACAATTGAAAATAGAACGCAACTCCATGTTTGTATAGGACTTTACAATGAAGAGGTTTGGTAACATAAGTACATAAACGGTCCAGACTACCTCGTACCCTGTTTCAATAGATGTTCTCTGCCTCAACTATATGAGAACTAATTGCTTAACGTTGCTATAGCTATTAATAAATCTAAGACCATCCTTTGACAAAGTTGAACCACAATTGAAGTACACATAAGTCAACGGATGCAGCCATTTGAGACGGTCCATTAAATTATGTGCCACAGGCCTTTATTAACATTTTGTTCATTGATTGAACTATCGATTACCGGTTAAAAGGCTAATTTCAATGTTAAAGTCGGGCTCTAATGTGAGTTTGTTTCAGAGATATTACGAATATGGCACAATTAAACACTTAAAAGCAAGTCTTTATAGCTGAAATGTATACCAAAACAGACATTAGCAAAGTTTTATGAGTTTTCCCACTTCGCCTTAAAATACGAACGAGTTTTATTCATTCCTCGGAGACCTACTACTACGTATTATAGCTTAATACGTTTTGGTCCTTCGGGACTAATGTCAATGACGGGTTCAAATTATACAGACCAGTCAGAGTTCGCTTTAGTTATTGAGTTTGTATATTTTCGGTCCTTCTTCCTCCTTCGAACAAAATATGTAAATTCCGTAACCCCGCTAGGACCGTGGCTAAATAATATCTTTAATAAGAAGATTTTGTCCAAGCTTATCGACAAGGACCGGACCACCGCTACGTAAATAAAAGGGAAAATTACAACTTCTTAAACTCTTCGGGGAAGATTTTGTTTAGAGAATGGAGTTTCTTTTTGACTTATAATAAATTAGAACCACTTATTTTGGTCGGATGGGTTAGCAAAAATAATAATAACCTTCTTTTACTGGGATTAATATAAACAATGAGTGATTCCTAATGAATAACTTATTAAATCCCCTATGAGACGCTGACTCAGCAGATATCGTAAGACTCGAGTAATGCGGGCCAACAAAATCAATTGTCACAATACTTTGAGATCATAAGTAGATCTTCCGATCGAGAAATTGAAGATAGATTTTAATTTAATATTTCTTTATGTTCAACACAGCACATACAATCGCTTTTAACATAATTCCATGATTACAAGTGACCTTCCACAATGTGGAATAAGGTGGTCTAAGCTTATTGTCAAACATTTGTTTCTTATACGAAACAAACTTGACTGCACGGTTGGCGCGGTGGCTGGGCAACTGGCTGCCGCGCAACATGTCGCGGGTTCGATTCTCGCACGGAACAACTCTTTGTGTGATCCACAGATTGTTCCGGGTCTGGGTGTGATGTGTATGTGTATGTGAAATTGTAGGTATGTTTGTAAACGCGCCCATGACACAGGAGAAAATCCTAGTGTAGGGCAACGAATTTTTTTTAAAAATACTACTCTATACAGTTTTTTTCGTCTTAATTTAAAGGTTTGTAAGTCTTTTCCGGAACCTAACATCAAATCTAAGAGGTCATAGTTGACGGTTGCAATCGGCAGTTTCTTTTAACTTATACCAAAGGTTATTAAAAGGCCAACTAGACCACATCTTATATAATTAAAGTACATCACTCAGCAAACATTACAGATTAACTTTCTGCTCTAATTGAACACTTGCAGCTTTCAAACGTAATTGTCATAGTCCTTTCAACACGGTCGTTGTGGCCGCTCGATGACTCACGCGCATTTAACGGAAGCTATTAAGCGCCGGCAATATGCCTTAAGTAGCAGGTTGGATCTTGAAGTATAGCTTCTTTCAATCAGTCTCGTCTTTATGAGTACTGGTAAATTATCGTAAATACGTATCGGTGGATTGGTTCTCATTTTAATGTAGTTTTCTTCTGCCTGTAGGTTCGGAGCTTTAGGTTCTTAAGTTCATCTATGTCTGTAGACTATGTTAATTTCATTTAGGGCGTGATAACACGGTCTCACTGAACAACGATGTGAATTTAAGCTTGTGATCTATTTGACCATGTGAATGGAGTTACTGAAAATTTAACGCAAATCACTAATACCTAAATGCATGAAGATCATGTCTTGACCACCGTGTTCAGAGTGTCGCAATAACTCATACATTTAATTCATATTACCACGATTGAAACATTAAAGGGTTCTCTACTTTTCATTTTCATTATCAATTTTTGCTTCTTTGGGCGTTGTTAGTGCAATCGATAAAGTGCAATGTTGAAATGGGTGTGTTGGCTACGTCATTATTCTAGTTTCTATGTCCAGGTTACTACCAGGCCCTTTTGTTATGTAATGTCTCCTACCAGTTTTAACAGCTCATAAAAGCCATGTACACATTATAGCTCCATTCCCATTGTCGTACAACGTTGCAAAGTTTTCAATAAGTTTCGAAACTCAACCATAATGTTTCGAATGTTTTTGAGTAATAGTTGGATTGTTTGAGAATAAACCGGAGGCCAAACACGAAACTTGGTCACGCGTCGGTTGCTTGAAGGACCTATTAGTTGGTCCAATTGTCCTTTCTCCAAAATTATGTAACAGAAATATCTATCTTCCCCTTCTCGAGAAAATTGGCAAATATTCGCAACTAGAACGAAATGTAACAAACAAAAGGAGTCCTAATGTAAAGGATTTAAAATTAATTGATACAAATCAGTAAGATTTTAGCTCGTAGACAAATAATATTTAGCGTTAATGGAATTCGCAAAGCCTAACATTAATTGCGTTGAAATTTTTCGTTTTGTCACTGGCGTTTGATTGTTAGACCTTTGGAAAATTATGGTTGGCTGTTGTAGAATTTTTGATCAAGTGTTTGGTGAAGCAAAATTATAACATCAGTACAATGTTATTGCATTTTCACTTTTATCCCTAGTCTCGTAAAGAATATGATACAAATGACGTAGCTTATATTTAATGGTATATGCAAGTCTATGTAGTCACAACACCATGTCACACGGTATTCAATTCTCAAGTTTCTTACCACTTATCCACTTTCCTCTATCCTCAATTGTATTTTCGCTTATTCTTTCTGGTGTTATTGTTTTGATAGCCGTTTCATTACGACAATTGTATCGAGTTACAAAATCTGTGTTACGGGTTCAAACGCATGTACTGGTAACACTGGTAACTATTTAGGTGAGCGTGCGTAGTACAAACTGCACAATAGAACAAAATAGTGAAAATGATAATAAAATAGACTTACAAATATTTGAAATAAAAATATATTTATGACACCTTCATGGCTATTACAATCCCATAATATAATTGACATAGCCAACTAGCTTAATAAGTCATTAAACTTAATGGCCTGAATGACTAGCCATTTGACTGAATCTGAGTTTCTCATGTAAGCGATAAATTGAATGGATTGTTATTGACACCGAGTTGCTACCAAAATTGTTAATTGTGGACATCAATTGTATAAATTAGCATATACTAGAATGACAATAAAATGTCTCTAGCCTTTTGCTATGATCCTTACTCGTTTTTCTTTCTTGCAAGACAAAACCTCCATCACCTTAAAAGACGACAATTCCGTCCTGCGTTTTAAATTTCCTAAACTTGACTTCACTGGAAAATATGTTTAAAGGGGTAACCAAGTGACTCATGTTTCCAACCAGATGGCTAGCGATTACAAACCACAATCGCAATTATTAATCGCAGCTGTTATAATGAAACTTCTTATTATGTAAACTTAGTTCGATGAATGAGGAAATCATTTCAATACAAAACATACTTGTACTCAGCATTTCTCCATATAAAAACAACTTTATACTGTTCTGCACAGTCACCATTGAAGATAAGCTCCTTCAGTTGCAGTGTTCCAGTTAAAACATAAAGAAACAAGCTACCACACAAAGATATCAATTACCATTTTTATTTTATTTACATATCCTGAGTAGACTCTTGTTTTTGTAGGAATTTATCGTCATTGCAACGATTAAATTAATAATTCAATATCAGGCTACGGACACATTACTTAAATATTTTAACGCAGATTAAGTACGTACATTGGCTTTAGCTTCTTCAAATATTCTAATGTAGGTGTGTTTGCATTCAAGTTTACGCAAAAAAAGTTTGAGCAATATTATATATAACTTCATTCACATCTTTGTCTGAATTGTACATGAGCCGGTTAACTATAAAAAGCCGGGTCACTATCCTATCCAACACCCACATTAAATTAAAATATAGTAAAGTAATTGTTTTGAATCAAGAGCACACACTTTGGCCCCCAAATTGCGACTAGTAAAGTTTAGGTCCAGCCTAACCCTTACCTTATAGAAGTTACACTATAAAATAGTTGTAACTAACTTTAGCACAACTAAAGCAGTTTGAGCACCAAAGAGCTCCTCTTGGAAACTCTTTAAAAGTAAAACAAAAGACTTTTAAAACTATTCAAGTACTCGTTAGAAAGTTTGGAATACCTGCGAGAGGTCCCCGTCTCCTCTGATTTTCTCGACTACGGTAAGTTTCCTCTCAGCAGTCACGAGTCCCGTGCACAGCACTAACAACAACACTAGTCGTCCACCCATGATGCACGCAAAACATCCAGAGATCACTAGAGAATTCACAACGATACACTCGCGGAATACATGTGCGGGATACACGAGCTAGTACGCGCGGTATAGGAGAATGCGCCGCGATAAATGCCGGGTGTAGCGCGGGAGGCACTGACGCGTTGACGCACTGATCGTGCCCTCTCTTTCACACACCAACCGGCGCGGCAACTAACTGGTCATCATACCCGCCGTGACCGTTGAGCTTCGAAAAATGATCGAAAGCATGATTAGCATATCAACTCCACTTTGTGAGTACGAAATGGATTGGATACTTTCCGAGCGAATTCAATGCCAAGGTTCGTGATTCTGATTATTCATAAGAACGTTAAGGTTAATGCGGTTTACCTGTTGTTTTTAAAACTAAAGTTATGTAACTGTCAAGTTCAAAAGCCGTTGAGCGCACAACAATGGCAAACTAAGCAAACTACTTACTTTGATGCAATCTGTGTCCGTTACGTGTTCGAGTAGGTGATTGTTAATAGAGTTACCTGTGACGGCGCGTGACCAACCCAAGCTTTTGTTGTGTTGATTACTTCGCTTTTTTTTGCAAATAACACACTGAATTACGATTTATACAAAAATATATTCCAACATCATACGTGTGTACACGTGACACCGTTCACAAAAATATTCCTATAGGTAACGTAAGATAGCATCTCACATTCTCCAATTATTTTGCAAACTGACAACCTGACAAGTTGGATCCAAATTAGGGCAGAATCTATATAAAAAGGGGCAGAAAAAACAAACCTGCGAACAACGTAAAATTGATATCTGCCGATAACATGACGTACCTTTTTACGGCGCCAAAAAGATTTGACGGGTTACATATGGTGCCAAAGTGCCTACCTGTGGTGCCCCTATACCTGCCCGGAGTTAGGGCTCGCCGTTTGCCCGATACGTGACGTGACGGTTATAGGCCATTGTATTTTGTATCATATCTCCATATCCATCTTTAACCTTTCCCCGCGATTTATGCTTTCACCCTCGTTGGTTTCCTCGCAAGATGTTTTTATTAAAACAGATGGATTTGTTGTGTTGAATTTAAATTTGCCATATAATTTTACATGGAAGAAGGTACATGATATGATTTCCTTTGATTTTTTGTTTGCTTTTTCGACTTGATTCTATTTAAAATATTCAAAATTATTTACAAAAAAAAAATGTAGATTACTAAAAGTATAAGTAATAGCATTTTACGCCAACGTTAAACTCATAACATTGATATCCTTAATTAATTATATGTTTGTGAATAAACCGGCTTTACTGTTGCCGTTTTCAACAAAACTCTGCCGATTTATTTTTTTATTAACAGCCATCCAAAATATTTACAGAAAATGTAATTACCTACATTGGATTTATTTGGATTTCAATGTTTTTCGCCAAATCCTCACGCTTACCTGGTTTATTTTATTTATGTCATTACCAATAGATTCCCAAGCGGAGTAAAGCAGTTTATTTAGTAGGTAGAAGCTATAAAATGAAATAAAAAAAGAAAATAGACTTATTCTTATTGAAAATGACGACTTACTCATGTGAATTAACTGCGAAAATTTCTACTTACTTATCTCAGAGTCAAATTCGACACGATGAATTCTTTTCCACAATCACGGTTGTTGAATGGGAGCCCCCTTAATTACATATTAAATTTCTCTTTGTTTTTATACCGACAAAAGAAATATATCATATAAAAATCATCTGTCTAGCTATCATGGTTCACGAGACTGCGACATACAGACAAACATAATAATAATATGTAGATGTACAGATAACGAAATCTTAGTAATTGGCTTTTATTATTGGTTTCATTTTTACTCTTTGGGTATTTAAGTATTATAGACCCCTAAAAATAACCTTTTTTTTAAGTTAAAATCATCAAATGATTTTCACGTCTTTCGCCTAGGGTGAGGCAAAAGAGAGTGTTAGACTCTTACTGACTAAAATCCCCTTGTTGGCCTAAAGCAGGAGAACGATCTTCTGCTTTGAGCCAAGGCTGACCTTATTGTGCTAGCTGCGCAACCCCGGCTGAACATCGGCCCTGTACGGGCCCGTATGTGGTGGTCTACTAGATCTTTAAGGCGGGCGCGGTACCCGAAAAAGAAACTATATAATTATATATTTTATAATTCAGCAATCTACTGTAAAGGGAAATACGAAAACATATAAAAGAGAAAACAAGTGCAAATATGGATTTAGGTAAAATGAAGCTCAATCTATAATAAGAACTGTTTATAAAAAACCCTCAAAAAGACTTCCACATTTGCTTTGGTAAAAGTAAATATTGATATAATCAGTGTATTAGAGGGAGTTCGTGTATTATTTGTGTTTCAGCTCCATGTATGTAAACTCCGAGTAAAGTTTTTGCTTCGAAAACTTCTCAATTTCGCTACCGACGTGTTTACGAGGGAAAGTAAAAACCTTTGAAACGTTAAACGGATTAATTTAATCGAATGCTGAGTGCGCTTTGTAACGATTGTTGGGAAAGTACGGAATAATATGTGTAACTCTATATGTATACATACTAATGTATGTGTTTGTCGTGGTAGGAGGCACCCGATTCTTATGCATAAAAAGGTTCGAAACCTGGCAAGTAACTATGTAACTTTTGCAGAATTATATGTATCTTTTTCTAAGATTATTTAGTTTAAGTTTTACATACGCTGAAAGAAAACATCGCAAATCTGTCTTGTGCAAGCGTGGCTATTAATGCTCAAACCTTTTCCGTGAGAGAAGAGGGATTTGCTCAGCAGTGGGCACTTACAGACTGATGATGGCGAAAGGTAGTGTCAAACTCTTACATTCTAAAAACTGTGCCATTCTAAGTTTACATACACTGACTTTAATTACGGCAGACAGATAATTAAGGTACAACATTAAAAACATAATCTTACGTAGCATAAATTAAGAAGGTTTTGTTTAGACTACAGTCACATAAAAATAGATGTTAAAACCTATCTCAATAAGGCACGTTGTAACATCTTAAGTAACTAGGCATAGCGGAGCCAGACGAAATTCCTGGAACGTAGTGAAAGACCGGCTGTCCCGGGTTTCATTATCATTAATATTTGAGGTTCTTGTTAGCGAGAAACTAATTACATCTCCACTTATACTTACATGTTAACTTGATTTAGAATTACAAATAAAACCTTTTCAGAGTAGATAGATAATGATGCTTCCTTTTTTTAGGGGTAAATCATCAAATGACTTTTCTAACTTTTGTGGAACGGAAGCGAGAATCCGACTCTTACTGACTAAAACCATCCCATATGTTGCAGTATAGATTAACATAAGAGTGTCAGCACTAGCAGCCGCAACCCCGACTGGTAATACTTAGTAATACGCTTGCATTAGACGAAATTTTATAATCAGAACCGCTAAGGAGCGGACTTATTTGCCGGAGTCTGTGTGAGTCTGTGTTCCCCGAAGGGTAACCTGAGCGTCCTCAAGGCCCGAGTGAATAGTGGCATCGTAGTTCACATCATCGCTTACCCCCAAGTCTGACAGATGCCAAGTGCCTGCCCATAAAAAAGAAATTCGTTGGTAGCTTTAATCTCCTGCACGTCGATTCTATAAAATTTGTTTGATTTTGAATCGTGTTCGAGTGCGAAGTGAGCGTCGAAGTGACGGGGAAATTAAATTTTAGAATGTCACTTTAACGTCATCTCATACTTTATCTATCAAAATGTTGCTGTCAGTTTAGTTCAAATCGTAAGTGTAGCGCTAGTGTACTAATACTCTCAGCGGATTCAGATTCGAAGTTTACAATGAAGTCTTACAGAATCACACTACTGTAATTCCTAGATTAGGAGTAGCAATGGTTATTATTTTATGTAAATGAATAGGTCGGCAAACTAGCAGACTATTTACCTGATGGCAAGCAATCAGCGCCGCCCATGGACACCTGCATCGGAGGAGTTTCGAGTGCGTTGCCGATCTTTTAGGGATTAGAAGCTTTAGGGATTTGGGGAAGGGAAGGATTGGGCCACCGGTAACCTCACTCACACGGCGAAACACAACGCTGTGGTTGTTTCACGCTGGTTTTCTGTAAGGTCGTGGTGTCATTCCGGTCGAGCCGACGGTCCTGAGAGAATGTGGAGAGCTTACACCAATAAAAAAAATGGCAGAGACCATTCATTGCTAGAAAGCGTTTCAACTAGAATTGCGGTAGACTAACAAGGCATCCATTCACAGCGCGTTATCAATGAAAACTTTACCCTTCTTAAACCCCCTCCCTTCATGAAATTATCTGATAATTGAATTCATCCCAGTTCGGTACTCAACGTCTTTGTTTCAAAGCAACCATTATCACATTCTATCGACAATTAATCTATTTGAAAGTTATATCTTTCACTAAAACAAAAGTATTTGGTCTCTATAATTTCCAAGGACTTTTAGTCTATTCTATTTAAAGGCTATTTTCAGCTGAAATAACTATTAATAAAAATAAGAAATATAGTTTAGCTCCAGCCAGATCTTTCTTCTTCACAGACGATTGGTAATTCAAGAGATATTAGATTTTGTGTAAGCGATATTTTTCGTATAATCAGTTATTTATTTTGTAATTAATTAATTATTTAATAAAAAATAAAGAAACTTTTAAATCACTAATTATTTCATACTTAAACATAGTTTAATAACCCTCCCGCCCGAACCTTTTATTTTTTTTGTCAGGTGAAAATCATGAAATGACTACTCCCGCCCAGGGTAAGGCGAGAGAGCATGTCAGACTCTTACTGACTAAAAACCCACCCGTTTTACCTCCTGCTCTGGGCCGCGGTGACTCATTGCGCTTAACCCGCAACCCCGGCTGAAAATCAATTCAGCCCTATAAAGCGCCGTCGAGCCTCGGTGGGAGAAGTCATTTGATAATTTTCACCTCAATAAAAAACGGGCCAATAGTCAAACATTTTTCCTACAAAATATCGTTACAGTATAAATATCTAAAAGGTTAAACTTAAATCCTATTTAGTTACAGGCAAATATAGCAAATATACAGCTATAAGGAAATAAACCCTTTCAAGTTAAAGGCCACATTTGACTCCTTTGGTGTTGAGCTTGTTCAAAGATGGCGCTGATCACT